CAACCTTCCAGGCCAGTATTCCTCCTACCTCACTTCCTGAGATAGCTGGGATTAAGGCGCGCACCCCTACACCCGGGCAATTGGGGATAATTTTTTCTTTTTTTTTTTTTTTTTGAGACAGAGTCTCGCTCTTTTTGCCCAGGCTAGAGTACAGTGCCGGATCCAGCTCACTGCAACGTCCGCCTCCTGCGTTATGCGCAATCCTTCCTGCCCTCAAGCCTCCTGAGTTAAGCTGGGAGCTAGCAGGTGCCCGCCACACTTCCACCCGGCTAGCTTTTTTGTTATTTTTTTTTTAGTAGAGGCGGGGTTCACCATGTTACCAGGGATGGTCCTCGGATCGCCTGCACCCTTGTGATCCGCCCGTCTCGGCCTCCCAAAGTGCTGGGATTACAGGCTTGAGCCACCGCGCCCGGCCTGTTTTTCTATTTTTTGAGATGGAGTTTTGCTTTTGTCCCCCAGGCTGGAGTGCAGTGGCGTAATCTCAGCTCACTGCAACCTCTGCCTTGTGGGTTCAAGCAATTCTCCTGCATCAGCCTCCCTAGTAGCTAGGATTACAGGCTCCCACCACTGCACCCAGCTAATTTTTGTATTTTTAGTAGAGACAGGGTTTCACCATGTCGGCCAGGATGGTCTCCAACTCCTGACGTCAGGTGATCCACCTGCCTCGGCTTCCCAAAGTGCTGGGATTACAGGTGTGAGTCACCGCACCTGACCAGGAATAATTTTTTTTTTTTTTTTTTTGAGATAGAGTCTCGCTCAGTCGCCCAGGCTGGAGTGCAGTGGTGTGATCTCAGCTCACTGCAAACTCCGCGTCCCAGGTTCACACTATTGTCCTGCCTCAGCCTCCTGAGTAGCTGGGACTACAGGCGTCCGCCAGCAGGCCTGGCTAATTTTTTTTTTATTTTTAGTGGAGACGGGGTTTCACCGTCTTAGCCAGGATGGGCTCAATCTTCTGACTTCATGATCCGCATGTCTCGGCCTTCCAAAGTGCTGGGATCACAGGCGTGAACCACCACGCCCGGCCAGGAATAATTTTTTTAAGGCAACTTGCTAGACAATTTTCTTACTAATTAATTACATGAAACATTTCCTTTCTGTGCCTGAAGACCGACCCGTGAGCCTTGTCAGTCTGACACAAGTGGAGCCTTGGGATCCTGGGATGGAGACGTGGGGCTGGCGTGGCTGAGGTGTGTGGGTGAGCTCTTGCGTTGTGCTGCTGATTTCCTCACTTTGCACAGCTCCTTGCGCTTTGTTCTTTCTGCACAGAATCAGCTTAAAATGGCTCGTTTCACGATTGTGGATGGGAAGACGGGGAAAGGAGTCAGCTTCAAAGACGTGGCAGGAATGCACGAAGCCAAACAGGAGGTCCGCGAGTTTGTGGATTATCTGAAGGTGAGAGCAGCACAGACCAGGAGGGAGGAGTGGGCAGACACCAACCTTCCTTCTCTCCCAGAAGGGCTCCTGTGGGACCTGGAATTCCATTGATTATGTGTCATGGGTTGGTGGTGACCTCTACGTGTCCCATGGGGACGCCAGGCAGGTGCTGGTGCCTGTTCAACCAGCAGCACAAGCCCCTTGCACATGGTTCAGCCAAGCGGAGACTGCCAAGGCCCATGCCTACTGTGCCATTAGCCATCCTGGGCCCTTCATCCTTTGCAGAGGTCTGCGCTTTTTCCAGAACCCCATAAACCCCGTAGCCAGTTGGTGGCGGTGCATGAGCTGCCTTTCACGTGCATTACTTAAACATTCCCTCTGCAGGCCTGGTGCAGTGGTAGTCCTAGCACTTTGAGGGGCTGAGGCAGGGGAAGTGCTTGAGCCCAGGAGTAGGACAGCCTGGGCAACAGGGAGACCCTGTCTCTGCAAAAAATTTTTTTATTTAATTAATTTTTTTTTTGAGACAGAGTCTCACTTTGTCACTCAGGCTGGAGTGCAGTGGCACAATCTTGGCTCGCTGCAACCTCCAACTCCCCCAGTTCAAGTGATTCTCCTGCCTCAGCCTCCCGAGTAGCTGGGATCATAGGCACCCACCACCGTGCATGGCTAATTTTTGTATTTTTAGTAGAGACGAGGTTTCTCCATTTTGGCCAGCCTGGTCTCGAACTCCTGATCTCAGGCTATCTGCCCGCCTCGGCCTCCCAAAATGCTGGGATTAGAGGTGTGAGCTGCTGCGCCCGGCCTGCAAAAAATCTTTAAAAGTAGCTGGACATGGTGCCACATGCCTGTGTAGTCCCAGCTACTTGAGAGGCTGAGGTGAGAGGATGGCTTGAACCTAGGACATTGAGGCTGCAGGGCTGCAGTGAGCTCTCATGGCACCCACTGCATTCCAGCCTGCGTGACCCAGAGAGACCTTACCTCAAAAAAAAACAAAACAAAACAATGAAACCCCACATGGTTAGTGTCACATCATCTGCTGCCGTCCAGAGCCCAGAGCGCTTCCTCCAGCTTGGCGCCAAGGTCCCAAAGGGCGCACTGCTGCTCGGTCCCCCTGGCTGTGGGAAGACGCTGCTGGCCAAGGCGGTGGCCACGGAGGCTCAGGTGCCCTTCCTGGCGATGGCTGGCCCAGAGTTCGTGGAGGTCATTGGAGGTAGGTGCTGTGGTTGGGGGCTGTGGGTGGACTTGGCTGACCACTTGGCTCCTTTCACTATTCCTTCCTCTGGTGGCTGGTCTGAAAGGGAAACAGGTGGGCCGGGGAGTAGGGAAGGAAAGCGAGGTCTGGGTTAGAGGAGGGGTTTTGTCTGCGGAGCATGTGGTGTTTGCTTCAAAACCTCTGTCACTTGTGGCCTGAGGGGGCCAGCACGGTGCGTGTGAACCATGAGGGGTGGCCAGGGGCCCCCGCGAGCAGCTGCCGTGTGTCTGTTTGCAGGGGATGGGGCTGGTAGCTTTAGTTGTCCTTTGTGTAGAACTTTGGCCCAGGTACAGGAGGAGACTTTGTTTTTTATTATCTGCCCATTTCCTGGTTCTCTCTGTGTCCCCTCAGGCCTCGGCGCTGCCCGCGTGCGAAGCCTCTTCAAGGAAGCCCGAGTCCGGGCCCCCTGCATCGTCTACATCGATGAGATTGACGCGGTGGGCAAGAAGCGCTCCACCACCATGTCCGGCTTCTCCAACACGGAGGAGGAGCAGACGCTCAACCAGCTTCTGGTAGAAATGGACGGTCAGTGATCGTGCACCCCACACCCCCGTTGCACCATCAGAGAAGGTTTTCCGACGTCTTTCAGAACAGGTTGTGGGGAGCCAAGATCGCACCACTGCACTCCGGCCTAGGTGACAGAGTGAGACTCCGTCTCAAGAAAAAAAAAAAGAAGGCCGGGCGCGGTGGCTCAATCAAGCCTGGTAATCCCAGCACTTTTGGGGAGGCGGAGGCGGGTGGATCAACGAGGCAAGGAGATCGAGGACATCCGGTAACATGGTTGAAACCCTGTCTCACTTACCTAAAAAGACAAAAAACTAGCCGGTATCGTGGGTGGCGGGCCGCCTGTAAGTCCAGATTACTCGGAGGGCTGAGGCAGAGAATGGGCGTGAACCTGGGTACGGCGGGACTGCGTGAGCCGAGATCGCGCCACTGCAAACTCCAGTCTGGGTGGACACAGCGCGAGAACTCGTCTCAAAATAAAAAAAAAAAAAAGAAATACAAGCTTTAGACCCAGCACAGTGGCATCCGCCTGTAATCCCAGCAACTGCTTGGGAGGCCAGACAGCAGACACGGAGGTCCCGGATTTTTATGACAGCCAGCAGCCAACATCTGAAAACCCCATTTCTACAAAAAATATACAAAAATTTCCAGCCGGGCAAAATGCATGGCGGGTGCGCCTGTAATCCCCCCCGCTTGCTTCTGGAGCAGTCGCTTGAACCCGAAGGTGGAGGTATGCCAGTGGAGCCCGAGATCATCACCATTGCACCTCCAGCCTGCGGTGGAGAGAGGGAGGACTCTATCTCAAAAAAAAAAAAAAAAAGCACAATTAATTAAAAACGTCAGGCAATCAGTAAAAAAAGATAAGTAGGAAATAAGAAGCGGTAGTCAGATGTAACTTTTTTATTATTTTTTGAGCAATGGAGTCTCTTAGTTCCCCGGGTGAAGTAATGTCACGATCTTCGGCTCACTGGCAACCCATCCGCCCAGGTTTCGATGCGATTCTCCTGCCTCAAAGTCCTCCCCGAGTAGCTGGGATTAACATGGCACGTGCCACCACACCCAGGCGCTAATTTTTTGTATTGTAGTGGAACGAGGTTCACCATGTTTGGCCCAAGGCTGGTCCTTCAACTCTTACCTGAGGCGCGGGTTGGCACTGCCCGCAGCTCCCAAAGGTGCCGAGATTAACAGGGCTGAAGCCTCGCACCTCCAGCCCTTTTTTTTTGCATTAATTACTTGCTTTTTTAGGGGCTTTCCAGCAAAAACCCAGGAAAGACCCGCTAGAACAGGTTCTGAGGAGCTGGTGGCCGCTCCTGTCTTTAGTCTGTAATGGGTCCGGTCTGGACCGCCGCCGCTTCCCTGTCCTTTTAGTCTGTAATGGGTCGGATCTGACCGCACCGCTCCTGGTTCAGGTCTGTAATTGGGTCGGTCTACTTGCGCCGCTCCTGTCTTTAGGTCTGTAATGGGTTCTTGTGTGATTTGTTGCCGCCACGCCTCCACTGTGCCCCCGAGAAGGTGAAGATCCTGTTAGAGGGCCGAGCAGAGCAATCAGCCGCGATGCACGCGGTGAAGGGAGGCACCCCACATCGTTTGACCCTTGAAGAATGTACTTCTGGTCTGGCTT